TCCAATCTAATGAACCTTAACACAAGGCACAAAAGTTACCCTCACATGCAAAAAGTCAATTTATACATTTTTATTTCTGGATCTTTCCTTTGAATTCCTGATTGCTAAAATAATTCCTCCAAGCAATTTATTGGCTTTCATGTTGTGAGTATTCTCTTTGATTTTCTAGGCGAGGAGAGGTGACCCGATGCTGAGGAAGTCTGAGGATGATGACAGTGAAATGTCAGCAGAGTCTGCCACCAGTGACAGTGGGCGAGGAGGCAGCGAGGATGATATAAATAGTAACAGGGGAAACCCCATGAGTGATTCAGGTACACTCCCAACATTTTTATGACTGCTCAAGTTTTACAATAATAAAAGCACATTAATTTTGCCTGTATCACTAGTTACCATGGTAAATGAAGGCACATGTGGAAAGTTCAGTAGATTAAGTCAATAATAGTGAACAAACAAAAATGTAACTTTGCAAACAACAACTTTTAGTTTCCCTGTATGGGACTGATAAGTTCCCTGTAGAATACAATCTGATTCTATTCCCCTAGAATACAACTGCCAGTGTTTGGTCTGACCAAAACATCTATTTTTTGCAGCTCGGTAAGTCGAGCATGCAAGTCTGATCGCCAAAGATGCACGCCCTAATGCCTTGTTCAATTTGCCTGCTCAATAATACATTATATTATGTGTGATTATTTGTTTGATGTAGGATTTTTCTTGTTTTGCAGCCTGACTTTATTGATATTCCCCCAAGATTGTGCAGCATGTTAGATAACATCTTTTTTATCAGTTATTTTTCCCTTTTATGTACAAAGTACCACACTGTACTAGGCTCTCTGCTTTATTAATAATCAGTAGTTCAGTTTTTCCTCATTAGTCTAAATTGGTCTTTGTTTTGTTTTTTGCTGCTCTGCTAGCTAAAAACCATATAAAATGAAACTATTTTTACTGTTTTTAATTTCAGAAGAAACAAGGCAAGCATACAGCATTGAATATCCACAACAGGAGCATTCTCATAATACTCCAAACAAGCACACGAACGTCTTACATTCCAGTTACAGGAAACCCGTACCTACCAGTGAAAATTATCCCAGAAATATTAGTTTTAGTGATGACAGTGTGACTGCAAATACTACTGTAGATAGTGCTAAAAACCGACATGGGCGCTCTAGTCAGGACACTCACAATCAGACAACATTGTCACGGATACTGTGCATGTCATCAGATCGGGGCCTGAGTTTTGTTAATGGCCACACCCATTTAGACACTTTAGACGAGGCCACTCACAGTACGTTTGGTCTCCGTTATTCTTTACAAGACATTGACGATACAGTCAGTGAGAGTGTTTTAACAAGGGATGATGATGGAAACTCCACCACAACCTCTGGGAGCTACACAATTAATCCCGATGAACTTGTGCATGAAATTGACAATTTGTTTTTTAAGTCTGATGTCATTGTCTGATGTGTCTTGATAGACCGAGAGTCCCCTAATGTGCCAAAATTATACTGCTATATCTGTATTTTGTTGCCCTGGTAACCAGATCTGGACTAACAGATATAGAGCGAGACTTAAAAAGTCACACTGTCAAAGGTGCTATTTTATGTTTTATAATGGCATCATTAAGTCATTTGATTCAGGGTTTATAATGTCACTTCCTTCTGACCTCTTCAAATATTAAATTATTAAATAATAAACAGTATTCTGTTGTATGGTGATAACAAAGATCTCTAAAATCAAAATCTCATGTAATCTCATTCTTATTATTAATATGCATTTTTTTCATCAATGTTTTCATGGAATGCAAAGCATTCATAAACATTTTACAGAAATACAAATCATTCATTTCTATTTTATGTTTTATCATCCAATTTGTTATACTCGTTTTAATGCAATTTTATCATGTCAAATTGCAGTTGTTGAATTCTGTACATAGTAATTTGTAAATTGACTAATATTTCACTTTTTAACTGCAACAAAATAAAAAGGGATAGAAAAGTTGATTTGTTTTATCTTTTCAAATTTTTAGCTGATTCCAGACAAGGTTAGTTGTAGATATGCAGTCTCAGTGACTCTAAGGGGGAATAAGTTGAATAAGTTGCTATTACCTTGATTAACAAATTTAAATTCTATATTTAGAAGTATGTGCACCTTTCATTACAATGATCATAAGAGATCATTGTAAAATATAGAGTTATATTACATGGAAATGATCCTTTTTGTTGATTGTGCAGGTTTAAATTTGAATATTTACATATCCTAATATTTTTCCTTAAGATTCTTCGCAAATTAGAAAACAGTTCATTGTCGCATGAACTACCATGTATGAATAAGGATATCTCCAATGTGAAGTCAAAATACTGTAAAAATATAGCGCAAACTGTTTTGTTTCAAAATTGATCGCTGTATGACAAAAAATTGTGGTAAGTCATCAGAAAAATAATGTAAATATAAGATATGATTTTAATTTTTGAGAATTCATGAGGTACATGAACTACAATGCTTCATGCTTGCATATTCATCAAGAAGCGCTAATGCACTTTATGAAATGTGTCGACGTGATGTGTCAAAGTTCATGTCCTCATAAATTCTCTTAAAATTAAATTCATTTCCAAAATAGATTAAGGTACTTTAGACAAAATTCAATGAATGGTATGTTTTCTTTCTTATTTTCGTGATCAAATAATCAATTGTATCCTGCTTTAATTCTGTCAACCAGAGACTTTCAATTTCTATCATCTGTAGGAGTTTTTTTTCTTGTCAGAGGGGAATATTTTTCTCCATCACATTTCCTGTAGACGTCATTTAATAATCTGCAAAGACTATAGTTTCAGTAGTTGCAGAGATTTTATTGCCCCTGATATAACAAGCCCTAGGGAGACCAACACAATTCACAGCCCTAAGGGTCGGCATACAAGGCCGTCTTGATGACCAAATGATGGCCTTTGTAATAAAACATGTTTTTTGTGTCATTTTACCACAGGAATCATTAAATAAAATACAATGGCTATCAAGTCCATGTTCTGTACTTGACAATACATGGAGAACATAACATGTCCTGTCACCAAGCTATAAAGGGAGACGACTCAGTGCTGCTCATCAGAAATCCATGTCTCTGTAATGAATTACTCATATAAAAGGAAGAGCTCTTACTATTATTTCTTTTATCAATCAGCTTCTAAATAAAAATTCCTTAGTTTTGCATAAGAGGAGTGAGGATTAAGTAATTCAAAGGGGATTTCTGTCATTTAACACAGTATGAACATGCAATTCAAAAATTCATCATCGGAAACCCACGGTCAATCTTGCTTCTCTTACCTCACTTACCTTACTTAGGTAAGAGAAGCGAGACTGACCGTGGGTTTCCGATGATGTCAAAAATTGTACTCCTGGGTTACAGTAATTGGTGGAATATACAATGTACATGCACATATAATATGCATAATTGTACCAGTTTTGAAGCATTTATGGCATATACTTTTTCATGAATGAAAATTAGTACAAAATTTGATCAAGAGGGCCAGAGATGATACAAAGCAAAAGAATCTCTATGTTTAAAGCACAGGATACAAAACGCCAAAAGATGTCAAATAACCTACAAATATGCAAATCACAGAATAAGTGTCATGGATTCTAAACAAGATAATAATTTTTTATCAAAATTTCAGATTACTCTTGTGTTCAAATGACCAGTGTCAAATTTGTGCGGCGTTACCGGTTGTTAACCAGAGAGGTCAGGTTGATGTTTTATTGCATTATTTTTATGTGCATGATCATCATGTGTAATAATGGATCTGTCACAAATTTGACAGCTGAGGTGATATATAGCCAGGTGAGACAATACTGGTCGGCACCATAGCATAGAGTTGTCTGTCCAGAGGTCATGTGGCTACGATGACTTCATCCTCTGTCGGTGGTGGTTTGAAGTTACAAATTTACACAGGTGTAAATCAAGTTTACCTGCTTAATTTGATTGTTTATGTTTATGATGTGAACATAAACAAACATTAATGACACCCATTTCCTTTTGTAGTATCTGCTTTTTTTTCATAAATAAACCAGGTAGAAAGAAATTGATTTTAATATTCAACACAAGGGATATAACTCTTCTGTAATTTATTTTCAAACAGTTTTATTGCATTTATATTTATAGCAATTAATAACATCAAAACATTCTGATGATTTTATATAAATCTACATGGGAAAAAAGTTGCTTGAATTTAAAAAAAAAAAAATAATTGTAAACAATCATTAAATGCAAATTCATGAAATTTTAATAATAATTTCAATTCCACTGAGTATTTTTTAAACTGAAAGCATTTATCTAGGAGTTGTACAAAAATTCATTCAACTGATTTGTTTTGAATTTGTGAAAGGGAAAAAATTGACTTCTAGATTATCATTGGAAGACTTTTTGAATGCTTTCACATTAAATGTGAATTTTTAAATATATTCTAAAAAGAAATTCTGTTACTCATGAACATTTAAAAAAAATATCTGATAAAAATCATACTAATAAATACTTGAACAATAACAGTTAATAAAATAATGTAGTACAAGAACAATCAATACTCTCTCTTTTTTTTTTTTTAAAAGTACAATGGACAGACAATTTTGAAATATGTGCACAAGTGAATAATATACTAATTTTTTCATTTAAAATGAAAAAAAAACTTTTCAGAGAAATGTAGCATCAACAACTGAATCGAAATATGACATGAAATAAACAAAGATAAAACTATGGCTATACGTTGACATGTTTAATTGCGAGTATTTTACAGGATATGAGACATAACGCTTCCACAAGTCTCTGACACATTATAATGACATATAAAAGTGAAGATGTAAGTATCTAATCATTGATTCTGATTAAATCAATTCTTAATTTCAAACTAATTATTTTTTTGTTATCAAAATCATAACATGTACTTATAAGTAACTATAAGTAAACTTAGTGATATAAAAAGTTAGCAAAAAGAGCCAAAGTTCAGCTACCAAAAATATATATAAAAAATGTTTTAAAATATTGAAATTCATTTAAAAAAAACTGTCTACAGTTTCAATGGTTATATACACACAATGAGATCATTGCTTTTTAACAAATGTACCTTTTATCACAAACATTGTTAGCACTACCATTACATTTGTTACATATGATTTGTATGGCACTAGATAATGTTTGATTGTCTCACAAGTTCATTGTAAACTTAAAAACTTATGTTACACAACAATATCAGTATTGAACACACTTTCAAAATTTGAAGGATTGATGGCAAAACTTGCCAGCGTTGTGTCATTGGAGTGCTGCGACTGACTGTCTGCAAGAGTTATCCTCCCTTTGAAGTCCAGTGAAGGATCCTGGGAAATCTGAGACTCGCTGTCATGGAGCGAGCCCTGGTCCCTGAGATAGATATTATTTGGAGGATTTCTGTATGTATCAGTATCCTGGTACGAGATCTCAGTGAGCTCCTGTATCGGATCATAAGGATCAGGCGAAGCACTTATAGTAGGAAGTTCTCGTCTCACAGCAGATCGAGACGGCTGATGTGAAAATTGTGGTCTTGCTCGAGCAAAATGAACATTTTTATTACTTCTGTCCAGACTCTTTGAGAAGAAGGGTCCAGAGTAGGACTGAGAGAGGTCTATGTTATTGTGCTTGAATGAAGAACTGTGTGACAAATCTAATTTATCTTGACTTGTTGAGGAGTCTTTTGTTAAATTATCAGATTCAGAACTGGATCTGAACCTGGCAAAGTAAATGGGAGGCTTTGGATTCCGTCGTAACATTTGTTCATCAAGACTGATGTTTCGCTGGTAATCATTGAAAGTAACTCTTGCTTTCTGATGCCAGGGGGAGTTATTTGGAATGTCCTGTTCAGAGTGACCAGGCGAGAAGGAGTGTGTTGATTTGTCAGTAAAGCCAGCAGAAGGTGGAATGGAGGAGAGGTCCATGTCTACAAAGATGCAAAGGAATATCAGTATATTACACAAATAGGGACATCAGAAAACTATTTAGTTACTTACTTTACATTTTTCAAGTATCATAATACAATTTTTAACAATTGGGTCAGTTCCAAAATTAGTAAAAATTTAGCATACTTGAAAAATTCATTTTGTTTTTGTTTTAGTTTTCATAAAATGAACACTGTGTAAATCTCATCAATTTTACCAGATCTGTAGATTTCACTGCCAACATCGACGCTGTCACCTTTACCACTGTCAGGAGGTAAGTTTTCCCCAATACCACTGTCAACTCGAGTAAGCTCAGGCTTACTTCCCCTTACCTACAAAAATTAAAATAAACCTTTAAGTTATCATTAAAACATCTGGGATTAAACTGGCTCCTTGAGTTTAAAGTAATAATAGTCTACAAAAGAAAATGAATGATTATAAAAGAGTTCTTTCCCTTTGCATGACCTTGATATTAGCATTTTAATAGATTATAGTTAATATTTGTTTTGCCTGAGTGCCATTTACAGTTTAGATTTGTCCTAATTCACCTTTCAATCAATTATGAGTCTTCTGTCCTGAATATACCCAAAATAAACAGAGATTTTAATGTCATTGAGAGCAGTGTCAATGTGCAGATAGGATTAGAGTTCTGGCTAATGAGGGGGAATATCAAACAAATCAGGACACACAGACAGGGAGAACAATGCTGCTAGCTTGTAGTCCAATGACCATAATCGTTATCTATATCCCAAAAATCAGAACAATACTGCTAGCTTACCAAGGTCCAACAACCCATCATTCCCATATCCCAGAAATCTATACATCAACAGACAATACATAACTAGACTTCTAATGCCTCTACTATTATCAGGAATAATTTACTTCTTCTATTTTTTTTTTTTTTTTTTTACATAATTACAGACTTGAAACCAAATAGTGAAAAACTTTGAATTAGTTCTTTTTATGTTCAATAACAATACATTTGTTATGTCTTTGTGAGAATAGAAATTGTTGCTTATCTTGTCCCTGAGGAGGTTTCAAAGAGTTCTGCAGGTGCAGTGTTTATTTTATTCCATTATTTTAAAAATTTTCAAAGGTTACACACCACTGAAAGAAAAGTTAATTTCTAAAGTTTGTTTTCTGACTATCTTTTTTTTCTTTTCTTTTTTGAAAATGTTGACATAATTTTTTATTTAAGTAACATAATAATTTCTTTTACTGCATAAACTATTCAACCATATATGTATCATAACTTTATTATGCATCATTGGAAATTAAAACTTTTGTGATAAATTTGCTTATTTTGTTCAACATGCTGTGACTCATTTGATTCTAATCCAGAACACAAGTACCAACCTTCAGTCTTTGTTCAAAGAATTACCCGAAACTAGGTTTTTCTAAGATTAAATTGAAATGTTTGTGAAGGACTTTAGAGCATGACACGGGATTTGTTTGGGAGGTACTGCAGATGTTTGTAAGAGCGCTTTTTGCAGTGAAGGTGGAATGAACTTCACAGCAAATCTACAAGCGGTTAGTCTTTGACAATCTCTTACGAAAAACAGTTTGGTATACATCCAAGATATACATATGAAATGCCAAATGTAAACTCAAATAAAAGATTTGACAAAATAGAGTAATTATAATCTATAGTGTCAACATTTTAAAGTTGCTAACTGTCTTGTGGGCAAAGATTTGTTTCAAAGAACCTAAATGTTTTCGTCCACTTCAGGTTTAAGTCAATTATTCGACACTTGGAAAGAAAAGGCTCCTTCAAGCCCACATTAGTGTCACGAGGTGCAGCATTTAACAAAGTCTGTAATACTCAATTTTTAACAGTGATTCTCTATAATCCTAAATGCTCATTTTGAGATCTAATGTATTGGCACTTTGTGGACAAAATCTGACAGCACAGACTTAATAATTGCACTAGTTTGGGTTTACTCAAACAAAATAAACCCACTTCCTTTTAGCTATTGTTAATAGTTTTTACCAAATCCATTATAATAAGGAAAAATTTTATTGTAAATGTTAATAGTTTTGCAATTGATTTGTGGTTTCCTCAGTAAATGTACAAGTTCACAAACAGTTGTTGCTTCTTAATTTAGACTGAATCATGAATAACTACAAAAATATATCATCAATTAAAAAATTGTGAAAATGGCATTACTCACCAGTTGTGTGTACATTTTGTCATCATCAGATGAACCGGAAGATGGCACCAAGTATCTATTGTTGTTGTTCTCACTTGTCAGTTCTTTTGGTTGTTTCTCAGTTGTCACACAGTTGAAGCATTTTTTGAGGAAGCTTTTGTGTGGGGTCTTGAACTGGTTTCCTTTGTCTTTATACTTTTTAATGTCCCTCTTCCGAATAATGCAGATGATGAGAATTAGAGCCAGAGAGATCACCATGGTAATGGAGCAGACTACAATAACAATGATTAGATTCTGGGAATTGGATTTTTCTCCAACGATGACTACGAGGTGAGTCCAGTTAGTCTTGGAGGGGTCCCCGGAGTCTGTGACAGCCATGACAAGATTGTACGTCCCTGCTTCCTCCTCTGTTGGGGAACGCTCCACTCTGATTACACCAGTCCGGTTGTCTATAGAGAACAGGTTGTTGATGTTCCCTTGGATGATCTGGTAAGTCAGACGTGCATTGACACCTTTGTCTGTATCATTGGCAATCACTCGTGCAATGATGGTCTTTGGCACAATCTGCAAGGACAGGGAGATGGAATTGTTCCTGTCATTGGGGTAGTAAATTGTAGGTGGGTTATCATTAACATCCTGTAGATACACAGAGACATTTGCAGTGCTGGTCAGAGCAGGGTCACCTTTGTCGATGACATAGATCTGAAAATGGTATTCCTCCTGCTTTTCTCTATCCAGAAGAACCTGTGTTTTCAAACTTCCAGTTCCATCAATTGTAAAAATCTTAGAAAATCCTTCCTCTATTTGGAAGGTAAATTCTCCATTTATCCCTCTATCTCTGTCTGAAGCTGAGAACTGTGCTATGGTTTTATTTATTGGTTGCTCTTCTGCTACTAGGATATCATATTTAGATTGCGAAAAAATAGGATATTCATCATTTTTATCTTGTATTTGGACAACAACTGTTGCTGTGGAGCTAAACTTCTGTCCATTGGCTCCATTATCTCTGGCAACAACTTGAAACATGACATTTGAGATGTTTTCCCTGTCAAACACTCTGTTTGCTGTAATGATTCCAGAGGTAGGGTTGATGGCAAAGTCTGACTGCAAAGTGCTAAACAGGTAGGTGACTCGGCCATTCTCCCCTTCATCTTTGTCTTCTGCAGAGACGTGAACAACCACATCACCAATGATGTTGTTTTCTGGGAAATCAACTTTATAAATACTCTTACTGAACACAGGGAAGTTGTCATTCACATCACTGACATTAACATAAAAGAATGTCTTATTGGTTTTGGGAGGTTTTCCAAAATCAAAACAGTTGATTGTCACATTGTGAACTGCCACTCTTTCTCTGTCAAGTCGACTACCCAAGGTAATTTTGAAAATGTTAGAGTACATTTTCACAATATTGAAGTCATCATTAGAAAGAGTACAATTAACAGTACCATTTTCTCCTTCATCAGGATCTGAAACAATTACTGTGGCAATATACTGCCCAATGATAGCATTCTCCACTACACCAGTGCCCCCTGGTGGTAAATTAATGTTGATCTGGGGAGCATTGTCATTGACATCGAGTACTGTGATGTTGACTATTACTTGGGTTGACAATGATGGTATGCCATTATCTCTAGCAAATACAACAAACTGATACTTAGTCTCTTGCTCATAATCCAGTAAATTCTTGATTGTAATTTCTCCATTAGTTTCATTTAAATAGAAGGTCTCTTTAACCTGAGAGGATGTGCGGGAACTGAACTCGTAGGTGATCCTCCCATTGTCCCCTATGTCCTCATCATCAGCTGATAACCGTAAGATAACTGTCCCTTCAGCCTGGTCCTCTGATATTGTAATGTTGTAAGAGCTATTCAGGAAGCTTGGCCTGTTATCATTAGCATCCAGCACAGTGATGTTGACCCGAAGAGTTCCATTTCTTTGTGGAGTCCCTGTATCTTTGGCAACAATGACCAGTTGATAAAAGTCTTGTACTTCTCTGTCCAACTTCTTTTCCACAACTATTCCTAGGTTCTCACTAGAATCTACATCTGGAACAGGCTTCACACTAAATGTTGGTTGCCCTGACAACAGCTCATAGACAAGAGCTGAGTTCTGACTTCCACTGTCTCTGTCATGTGCAGTGTTTGTTAAAAGGATGTGGCCAACCTCACTGGATTCTGAGACCTGCAGGGATATGAAGGGCTGAGGAAACAAGGGCACATTATCATTGATGTCTTCAATAGTGACTAGCACTCTTATAACTTTGATCAACTCATTATCAGGTTTAAAAACAGCCACTCCAAGACTCAGAATACAGTTACTGGTGGGCTGGCACACTTGTTCCCTGTCTATCACTGTGGCAGTCTCCAGACGGCCTGTGGACTCATGGATTCGGAACAGCTTGTCGTAGGCAGTAGTTCCAGCATTCCAGATTTGGAACCGTAGTTTAGTCATCATAACCGGAGTCACTTCAGCACTAATGTTACTGTCATTGGCAATATTTCCTACAAAGGTGAAGGGTAACTGCTCCTCCTGAATCTTGTACTGTAGTTCCTCAGTCTGTTGACCTTGACCTGACCTGATTATGCAGACGATCATCACCATCAGTGCAGCACTCATGATGATCTTCTTACTAATTATTCCATTCATTGGGACTGTAATCATTCATATCCTGCAGGTAAAAACACAAAATTTAATACTTCTTTTAAAAAAGTTCTCTGTAGATAGTTAACACTGGAGAAATTTAATACATGAGGAAAGCAAGGGATTTATCTAAGATCCAGAAATTAGTTTACCAATTTCTTGTCACCAGTGGAAAGCCTACTTTTACGCTAACTCACAATTGCTGATATCCCTGATTTTGGACATTTCCTTTCATCTGAACTTTGGAACTTAAGAAACAGATGACAAAAAATAATTCCCTAGTGGTTAACACGTTCCCACTTATGATATGGTAAGTCCTGCACAAATATTATATATCCCTTAAACAGGCAATGAAAACAAACCCTTATCAGAACAGTCCAAGAAACCAACAGTTCACTCCAATTCCTTCAAGTTTGCAAATTAAAGAAAAACTTGTTTTTAAAAGGACCCTCCAGTGAGCTGGTAAGATTAGCCAGGGATACATGGGGGGATATCCATGGTAAGCCATAAATCTCAACACCCCTCCTTATCAATGTAAATGGTCTTATTTAGTCCAACAGGAAACTTTTCAATATTAGACCCGCTACCAAAAAATGGCCCACAATAGGCAGGGGAACCTGTTACCTTATCTGAGGGGTGCTCTTTCATCCTTATCACAGGGAGATACTGAGAAACACTGTGACAGTTATTTATCACCTCCCTAAAGAAGGCAATCAAACTTAACTACTGCTGATTGGTGATTAACTTAATCCTACTGTGCATAAGGCTTTTAGTTATCTCCCCATGAACTAGAAATCAACAAAGTCTTGAGTAAATAAACATAAGTCAAAATTTATTCACTTCATTATGCCTCAGCAGGATGTCTTGTTTTGTTTGATTTTTCTTTCTACTCAAAAAAACAACATTTTTAGAAATTGAAAGAGTTAAAAGTTAATTTGAGTGAAATTAATTTACATTTTAAATTGTGCATAACACCTGTTTGAAACATGATCTTGAAGGGAATTTAAAAATTGTTTACATCTAATTTTGCATTATTTCACAGTAATGGAAAAAAGTTAATTTTCTTTCATTACATTTTATTTTTTTTTTTTCATACTTGAGAGACATAATTTATTGTCATATGTGAAAGATGAATTTCTGTATACTTCTCATAAAAAACATTTATATTCAGATAATGTACATGGTTTCAAAGATCATTTTAAAATCAAATTTTAATTGGTTTGATCACGTAGTTCCATTTTTAAAATTATTTATATGTGTATTGATGCATATTCAAAATTGAAGGGGAAAAGGGACAAAGAAAATTTAAAAATAATAATAAATAATAATAATAAATAATAATAGATAAAAAAAAATAAGTGAAATATCAAAAAGGATTTTTTAAACAATCAAAATTAACATTGCACTTTTAGAGTAATTTCAGAAATTAAAAAGAATGGGGAAAATATGCACAGATTTTAAATCATTATGAATTCTACCCATGCAATTATGTAGCTTTCATCATATTTAACAATTCAAAGACTCCTTGCTGATGACTATTTTTTTTCACATCAGAATCAGCTTACCTCTGAATAAAGACAAAAGCTGGTAATTTAAAACTGTCCAATTGACTTTACCTTTCCAAAAACACAGCTGATAGTCCAGATAAAGCATTTCCAAATAAACAACCTACCCAGAACACCAAATCAAATACAAGTTTCCGTTGTTAAATTTAAAACGAGCGTTTCCTCCGTGTGTTGAAGTATCAGTAATGACCAGGTATAATATTGACACTGAGGCTTTACAGTAGGGATCTAAACATTATCACCCAACAAAGATGCACAGTCGACGTTTGTATTAAGGCTTACAGAATCCCCCATACCCTGTCAACACTTCTCTCTCTTTACAACAGATTTTTTTTGTAAAGTCCATTTGTTAAAACAACAAAGGACATGGGGCATTGGTGCTGGACAATAGCAGATTAGAGTAAATTTCATAAAGAATCAATTACACTGATACAGCTATCCGCAAATGTCACACTTGAATTATATTTTTGCATCTTTTATATTTTATAATTTTTGTTGACTTATTTTTTGGCACTGGCTGTGAAGACATGTGAGAGTTGTTTCCCCTGATACTGATTTCCCCAGGATTAGGTGAGAATTGTAAGATGAGGCTATTGATTTGTGGGTTTGTTAATGTAACTAAGATGTTTCATTAGTTTTAATTAACCAGATCACAGCACAAGGTAATGGAAAGTAAAATAGCTGGACTAAGTAATGGACGAGGATGTCAATAATGCAATGTACATCTGCTCTCCTCAAACAGAAATGGATCAAATTAAACAAAATTCAAGTAATCTACAAAATACTGCAAAATCTAGTTAATCTTCTTAAGATGAAGGGGAGATAATCCATGCAAGGTGAACAATATCCTTTAAATGGTTCTTACCTGCCTTATCTGGTAAGTTATACCAGTCCTGAGGTAACAGGCTTAAAGACTTATGTAATTAATAAAGACATTCACTAATTCAAATAAAAAACACACAGGGTATGAGACTGTTGTAATATCACTAAACATTAAGAGCCCACTTCCCCTGGAGTGCCCGGGCTACAATCCTACAATACAATATTGACTTTATGGTAGACACATGGACAGGAACTAGTGGTGACAATGAAGGGGGGAAGGGCTGGTGAAGTCTGAATGGATTTTTGATTGAGGATCTTTACCTGGTCTGATGGGTAATTCATCTAATGTGGAAATCACCTGAAAAAATAGAAGATTAGAGTCTAAGCCACTAGTGTGTTAAACAGACTGTAAGGTTAGCCAGTGAGCTGGAATCTCAAACAATACAAAGCCTAGATGATGCTCCCCAGTATACTGGAGCCATGCGGACAACTTCCACATTTACATATATAACAATCATAGGGATTCACATATTGCTTAACTCATAATAAAAATAACTTACTTCTGAAAATTCAAATACACTTTTTGTTTTCAGAATATCCAATCAAAGACTTATTAATATGTAACCATCAATTTTGCTTTCAGCAAAAGTCAAACATTTCTCACAACCTTTGACTAGGAGGAAGATGTTTAAATGACATTTCTATAGCTGATTCCTTTTAGCTTGCTTTTTATCCTTTTTGTATGATTTAAATACCAATCTTTCTCACTGTGATTTTTAAACAATTTTGAATAGTAAAATCCTCCACAATTTTATTGTGTTTTCATCCATGAGTCATAAATTAAGCAATGCAAAAGGGAATAAAAAGAACTTAGCAATTCATGCCACTTTGCACATTTAATTGCATAATTTGGAGAAGAGTTTAGATTTGCCTGACAAAAATACTTCAAAGTTGATGTAAAAACAAAAATTTAAAACTTTTGAATTATCTAAAATTTAAACGAAATTTTTCAGTGGTAATAAAAAAAATGAGACAATTTGAAAACAATTGCAAACACAGAATTATTTTTATTTATTTTTTTTTAAGTAAAAGTTATCTATTGAAAGGCAATAAAGATTTCTGATTGGGTTTCTTTCAAAATGAACAAAAGTACAGACTAAAATTTGCACATTTTAATGAAAGAAACCCATATTGCAAATTAAATATGTTTATCTTTTAGTCTTTTGAAAGTGTAGGTTAATTTTGCAGGTATGTGTTCAAGCAATCGTTGTTCGTTTAAGGAGTTTTGTTTAGAATATGCGCTGATCACAGCAAGCACTAAACTAAAAATGGTGTACTGGTTCCTAACAACATGTAACCACTTAGCATCAATATTAATGAACAGCGTCGCCAAATATCTTATTTTTATAATCTCCGTAATTTAGTCGATACTGACAATCTGATACAAATTCTCCGGTGTAAAAAATTTTAATACCATTAAAATAGACATATTCTAAATAAAAAAGCACATTTTCCAAAGATATTTAATACAAATTGTCGTTTAGAGAATACCTTAGAATATTACACTTTGCATGATACAGTCATGTGCGCATCAGGTGCGAGATGGTAAAACAATGTATCTTACCTACAGGCTCCAGAGAGATGTAAGCTCCCAATGAAGATGGCGATCCGATGCTTTTACCCGAGTTGCAATAAAATACGGCCCTACAAATATCAAAATCAAAATCTGCACACCTTCAATTTGGTGTTTATTCAGATAAAACACAATCAATAGTGGCGCTGAGAGACCTACGGTACCTGTGTTTGATTTCAAACCCTGGCAGCACCTAAGCTGTAATTATAGACTGTTCAATTATCTAGATCTTCTGTTCAAATGATAATCAGGGGTAGGACCTGTTTTAGTCTCCGAGATTTTGGAACAATAATAAGAATTGTAAATGTGCATAATAATTATACAAAAAATGAGAATGCAAACAAAGCTTGGAAAAGAATGCTTTCAGTTTTATGAAAATATGGGAAAAATAAGACGTTTAAATGTCTTTCATTTTTTCTCAAAAGACGAATAATTTCAAGGCAATGAACCACCGTTTGTAAGGGTAATGGTCGAGGTAAAAGAATTGTGACTCAAGAGAGGGCCTTTTCGTTTTCATTTGACTGAAAGTGTCTCTTCTCTCTTCAACAATGGTTAATTTTCCAATTACAAGCAACACATCTTCACATACAATACTGGAGGTATTGTCTGAACAATTCACGGGTCCTAATCTGATATGGCCAACCTTCGATTTCACAACTTTTTTTAATGATGCCATCTCACGTAATTTCACCAATAAAACAATCGCCATGGTCACTGTAAACAAAAGGACAAGAGTGGTCCAATGTAAAAATCCTGTGATTCATTGAAATATTCATCATTCCTTCATGTAATTAAAAAATTAAACGTGGACTCCAAAATCTATCTGTTGATCATTAGTTCAATCAATTCGAGGAAACAGTTAAGACTTTTTTTTCTTGTTTTTGAGTCATAGGGGTAAGGATAAATAACACAAACTCCCCCCCCCCCCCAATCAGCAATATATTTTATATAGATATATGTCCATAAAGGTAACCTGAAA